AATAATCAATCAAAAGATCTGAAGAAATGAAAAATTGAAAAATTGAAAAATTGAAAATTTGAAAAATTGAAAAATCTAAAAATTAATAAGTTTTAAACTGAACACTTGAAATTTTGCAAAAAAATTGAAAAATTAAAAAATTAAAAAATGAGAAAATGAAAAATAGAAAAATTAAGCATCGGGAAACTGAAAACTCGAAAAGTGAAAAACTAAAACTGAAAATTCGAAAAATTGGAACATCGCACCGTTTAAAAACCGAAAGAATAAAATATCTAGCAACTGAAAAGTCCATAAATTGTAAAATCGAAAAATTGCAAATCGAAATTGAAGAAATGAAGAAATGAAAAGTTCAAAAGTCAAAAAATTGAAAAGTTCAAAAGTCAAAAAAAACATGATTGCAGTGATAAATTACAAGTACAGACTGATCATATTTTGTACATTTTAGGTAGGATTTATTCGGCAAAAGTTTGAGATGACGTAATCAATTTTTTGTGGTTGATAAACAGATACATTTTGATTAAAAGGCTACCATGCTTGCAAAAACTTCAAAACGTCTGCAAGATTTCAAAGTATTCAGTTTTGCAATTCTTGATTTATTCAGTAAAATAAATTCACACATTCATTAATTTTTTTGAGTCACCTTGTATAAGCAAATCCAAAAAATATGAATGGAATGGTAAATCACAAGTACAGACTCATCATATTTTGTACATTTTAGTTAGGATTTATTCGGTAAAATTTTGAGCTGACGTCATAAATTTTTTGGAGGGGATAAGCAAATATATTTTGATTAAAAATTTATCATGCTTATCATAGTTTTAATTTTGAAAAGTCGAGAATTTTTTTTCAAGAAAAGCAATCAAAGTGTATCTTAAAATGTTGTAAAATATTGTACATATTTCATATATAGGGCCATATATTGGCTTGCCTCAAGAATTTATGGTGATATTTATCATTCCGAACTACATACATCAATAACAATGACAACTACCACAATTTACTAATATGTATACGAATATGTATTAGTATGTAATCAACAGTTCGTTTTTCAATTAACATACCTAATAGAATCGAAAAGAAGTGTATTTACTGACAGTAAATTTGAAAATATGTAAATATAGTATGTTCATGTTGTTTACTAAATTTTATTAAGTTTCTGACACAGAATTTTGAATAATAAATAACTTAGATGCCTGATTAAAACGAGATAACTTAATCCCCAACTAAGAATTTGCACCATAGTTCGGTCATTATGAGGAATCAAGTAGTTACAAAATTTTGCACCACAATTTGAATACACCGCGCTCTCCGCATCTGAATACCAGAGTCTTCTAACAGTCGACAAGTTTGTCCCACAATAATTTTCTTCACTTTTTTTACCTGGTCTGGTCTAACTTTCGATGCCACTTCGCTTGACTCATTTTCATCTCGCTCCTCTGCAGGTGTTTATTCGTAAACAGAAGGGCAATAAACATTATTTGACAGAAGTTCATACTTTTGTGGTAATCCTATAGCGACTTTTAGAGATAAAATGCCCATATGCAGCCAGATTTGTCACTCCTGAAGAAGCCATTAATCAAAAAAAAGTAGACTTTGCAACAATAGTAAATAATAAATTCAAACTCAAACTTAATCATAGCTACTTTTATCAAGTTCAAGGACAACTCTATGTTTCTAATAAAAAAAGTTGCTTCTTTGTTTTTTGGACACCGAAAGGAGTTTTATACGAAGAAATTTCCAGAGACGAAACATTTTATAAAGAAAAAATGCATCAGAAATTAAAAGATTTTTTTTTCAATTTTTATCTAAAGGAATTAATTAAGGATGACCATAAAAGTTAACTTTTTATATTTGGAGGCAGAGAGAATAAGAAATTCTTTATCCTAAATTTTATGTCTGAATTATGTATTATTTGTTACAGTTATTGTTGTTTCTTTCTTCCCAAGTATAAGCTAGGAAAGTATTGTAATAGGGTCCATCGCACGAATTTCTAATTTTGTTTTCTCAACATTTCATGATTTAGGATATGCAAAATCAAATCTTTACACTTTCTCAACAAAGCTAAATATGTTACACTTTGCTTCAAGAGCGCGGTAAGTTCTGTCTAAACAAGTTCAGACCAAAGTTTAAATAAATACTATTCTAACAGTTTTATATAAGTATATGTTACACTTTGCTTCAAGAGCGCGGTAAGTTCTGTCTAAACAAGTTCAGACCAAAGTTTAAATAAATACTATTCTAACAGTTTTATATAAGTATATTCACTTTTTACTTAGATTTTTCTGAGTAATAAATGTTTTATTGTTTTTCTTTTCTGTTTTCGGTGTCTAGGAAATGTGACACTTGCAATTAGTGATGTATGTACTCTGTATTTTTAAATAATTTATTGTAATAGTTGTTTTTGTTAATTATTCTGTTAGGTACTTTTATCGATCGAATTCACTTAAATTACACAAAAATGCATAATTTAAGAAATTAAATTATAAAATTAATGTTTTGATAGATATATTATAGGGTAAATGTGTACAAGAGTGCGAATATGTATAAGAGTACGCACTGATGATTTCTGCTTATTAGTGCCATCTGGGTAAGATGAAGTTATACCATTCAGAATTTAATGCTAAACCTGAGATAAAGGTGCAAAAGTGACTTGAATATAGTTTATAGTTTGGTCATACTGACGATTTTATGTTCACACGTTGTGTGGATGTAATTTTTACCGCTCATAGTTTTAGTTTTTTGTAAGGTACGTATCAGTTCTTCTATTTTACAGTAATAATTTTCATTAGCTGTAACTTTTAAGGTGTCGTTATGCACTAACAGTTTTATACTTTCTATCCATCAAAAGCTTTTAACTTTGAAAACATTAGGTTATGTACAAATGTACAAGAGTGCGCAGCGAGGTATTGTATAAGAGTGCGCATTGCTTGCAATACGTAGTCTAATAGTCTTGGAGATACATATCATACGATAATGAATTATTTAACTCTACTACTTTGTACTGCTTCTCAAGTTGTGTGGTGGTGGTTATGGTGATTTTTTTTTTATTTTTACTTCCTGAGCGTGTTGTAATCGAGTCCGTCGACCGACTATCTATTTTTACGTTTTCTCGACTTTTTAAGACCCCTAGAGTACGAAGAAATAGGTCTCCCGTTTTATATGTAGTATGTAGTCACTTATTCCCATTTATTTTCACCTTAGAAACAAATATTTTTTCATAAAATGTAATGCGCACTCATAAGCGTTTAAATGCGCACTCTTGTGCAATGAACTGTCTACGAGTGCGCATTTACACATCTTGACAAAAATTGAAATTACTCTTAAAATATAGTGGTCTTGGGACGTACAATTAAATATATCTGATCTCTAAACATGTATATAAAGAACCCATATCATAAAATTTGTTTATCCAAAAAAATTAAAAAGTTGTTGACAGTTTTACAATAAGTGCGTACTCTTGTACACATTTACCCTAATTGTAATTTAATACTCATTGTTTTATTATAACTGGAGTACACAAAATGTTTATATTATTTATTATACTACCTCTGTTCCATAGCAAGGGTTTCATTTGCAATATTACCTATAGATGAAATTAAAAAATTCACCCTTATCATAAAAACTGTGAAAGGTTGCATTTGTGATTCACGCGGAATTTCGGATGCAGCATGCACAACACTCCACCCTCTTCCAGTGGTCCAGACCAATTTTCATTAAAACCTCGCTAAGGGTCTACCGTTATTTGGTGGGGTCGTTTTGAAAGAGCGACAACATTATACCTCCTACACGCACGGAACAACGATAGCAGTAGCAGGCGTTAAGATATTTGAAAAGTGACTAGAGAACACCAGAGAGTGTTTGGACTACGTGAAGAGTTATTTATGCTCAACTGTTGTGTGACAATTCTGAGTGATACCACCTTAAGACCGTCACTTTTGTTTGCTAGGACTTACAAGAGCCCTGCTCTACAGACCTAAAGCATGATAAACGAGCAACAAAACTGTCAGATTGTTAATTATCTAGTCCTAAAAATTTTTAAAACACTTTTAGAGCTCACTGTCAGTAACATTGATATTTTAAAGTTTTAATTTGGAATGTTAAAAAAATTAAGTATTTTTAAAGATAGATGCATGTCTACAACAGTCAATGTAGACATTTTAAAAACATCGTTTGTTCTCTGTGCCCGGTACATACTTACTTGGATAATTTCATTTAAATCGGTTTTTAATTTGTCATTCAGGTATATCATTGTGTGATAATTATTAAGTATTCATTTAACTGTTACGATCTGCATTTTAAAGCAGATTTAACGATGTCATACTGCAATGAGTGAAAGTTTTAAACAAGCAAAATTTTCTAGCAAGCACGTGTTCATCCCGGTTCTCTTGAAACTTTCAATACACCAGAAAGTTAAGTAATTTTTATCAAAACATTTAGGTCATACTATTACTTGAAACAATAGAAGTTTTTTGATGAAGAGGTTGTTTTACACAAATTTACCTGTATGTAAATTTTAGCAAACTTTTTAAATAACATTAGTAAGTTATGAAGAATGTGTCAATATATCAAATTTTGGAAATTTACTTTTATTCAAAAATAAAAACTTTTGGTTTTCTTTATATGTATATTTTTACATAAGCGGCTTAACAGCGGCAGTAAATTTTATATTTTTATTAAACAAAAACAAATCAGTCAAAATTATGTATGTACAAACACCAAAACAGGTTACAAAGTGTACATAAAACATTATAATACTTACAATAACAACATACGATAATTGTTCCTGTCCAGTTTTTAATCGATAAACATTGCACATTTAAAAGAAAATATCTCTCTAAACTAACATTTTCTCCTACATATATCACACCCATTGAACATTTAATATCACTGGATTCAAAAAAGTCAATACTCATAGGTACATTATTTAAACTTGATCTATTTACTGCTATAAATAAATTAAATGTTAAAACCAACTAACAAAATTAACAGCTACATTAATCCTGAAACGTTCCTACACCCTCACACAATCGCAGCAAAAATTCAGCGCTTTTTCTTCCCACACCCACAACTCCTTCAAATCCTTCGGCAAACCGCTCAATCCTACTTGATTGCCATTTTTAGAATCGTTCGCACAAAAACCCTTTTTTCTTCGTAGCAGTTTAACTGTGAACGATTTTGGTCTGCAGCTATACAGACCGAACCAACAATTTTCACTTAAACACACTACCGATCGCAAATATCTCGGAAAATAATCCGGCCCCAAATCGATCCATTCAATTTTAGAACTGCACTGCCATTGCTGTAAATAGTCGCTACTTCTTTTCCTTCGATGGAGCCCGTATCGCTTCTTTGCAAGGGTTACGTGGTTGTTGACGTTCCAGGCTGGCTCGGAGTCGATTTGTTCGAGAAAGTTGTCGTTGACGTAGAACTCTTCTCCGAAAGAAACACCACGTTTTCCACTACTTGCAGACTCGGTTTTGACTGGCTCTTCGACACTCATGTACCTCGGATTGAATGCAGCCCCGAGGATGTCTTCGAGCACGAACGCTGGCAGTTGTGCACATACCAACTTTTTCTCCCACGTTGTAAGAGGTACGTTATCGCTGAAATGGATAACGGACGTCAACACTATGAACACGAGTACGTAAGACATGGTGGGGTCGCAAGTACAAACTGATGGACATTTCTGACGGCACAACTGTTCGTTTATCCCTTCTCCCTAAGTGAAACGTATTTAATGCCATTTCTCGCTAATACATACCTACCTGGTTCAAAATTCTCCCATTGTACCAACGCTAATTAAGTTCAGATGTTCACTTGAAAAAGTCATCAAGATGACTTTGCTTTTTTGATAGAAAAAAATTGGTCGAAGGTTATTTCGACAGAACTTCCCTCGCCCCTGAACTACCGCGTGAAATGACTGAGTCTGTCGGCAATCCTGCATTTTTAGTTGAAATTGGTATCATGATGTTTTCTACAATTTCCGGTTGTCAGCTGTCAAGATTGACAGATTGTTGACATTTTTGCAAAATGTATCTACAACATAACCAAAATTTATCGCATGTCACGATTGACGCATCTGTCACACAATTACTTCCATTATGCCAACGTAAACCTAACGAAAGTTCACATCTTTGTATAAAAAGTACTGCCAAGAGACTCAGTTATTTCTGATCACACGGTACAGTAAAATAAATGCAGCTTTTTCGAAAAATTATAAAATTTGATTATGCGATTGTTATTTTTTTTTATGAGAATCCTTACAAGTTAAAATAAAGATATGTATGTAACGTTAAAGTAATTGCAATGAAGCGTGCTGTGCATACGTTTCAAATGAGTTTTCCCTTAACAAAATTTTGTAGTGACGTCATCAACATTTTTTCAAAGACACGTATATCACTTTGGATAGGTACAGTGCAATACTAATGATAACAGTGTTGTATTACCAAATTTTCGGGAAAATGGAGTGAGCCGTTCCAGATTTAATCAACAAAATAAATAAAATTGTCTCGTTCATTAATTTTTATGAATCACCCAGTACAAGCAGTTTAAAAACTTTTAATACAGTGATAATTCGTGTTTCTTTTATCTGATACAACCCGGTAACTTTTTTATTTTTAAAGATAAACATATAGTTCTTTGAGCAAATTTGTCTCATTTTAAAAAATCAATCTTTCCATTTATCAAAGAATACACCTAGCGTTCCATAAAAAAATAAAGTTGACGCCATTTCCGGTTCTACCCGAATTGATAATAAAAATGTGAGGTTGCCAGCACATAAATCTTTTAAAATGATACAAATTTGCTCCAAGAACTACAGGTATATCTTTAAGAATTAAAAAGTTACAGGGGTTTTATCAAATAAAAGAAACACCCTGTATATATTTCAGTTGCAATATCTACTTTTTTTGACATATTTCAATACATTTTCAGAATGTTATATGTCCATTACTAAAATACACATTCTTTTCAAATTTGAAAGATAAGCTACCACTATTCTGCCAAACACGTGACCAAGAAATTTTAAAAAATAATGTACCATTTTCTTTAAATAAAAACCACGTTTGTGCTGATTTCATCTGACCTCAATTTCGGCGAAGGAAATCAACAATGTTATAGTAGATGCAAACTAGCACCGGACAGGGAAGATCATAAAAATTAAGCAACAAAGACGACCCTAATCGGATTACAAAGTACCAAAATTTATGACACTACCTCTTTTAGCCAGTTGCCGGCTGGTTTACCTAGAAAATCCTAGAAACGATACTCAGGGCAGGACTCTATTCTATTTTGTAAATTTCTAAATACATTTCTAAATACGTGATTGTAAAGTTGTAAATAAATGTTTTATTCTTTTATACTCGTACAGTATAATATTATTTTTAAGACCCACCACTGACCCGGAAATGACCGGCATTCAGGCAAGACTTCTATCATTACGGGTACTAAGACCAAGTAATGATATGCTTTGATTAGATTAACAGAACAACTTTCGAGATTCTAGAATTACAGCATACAAATTAGTCTGCTATTATTCTCTAATCTCACCCCATCCCCAAAAGTCAAGCGTAACTACCGATCATTTATCCGCGCATCACATGAAAAGTGACCTACACTACTCTGACCTACTGGTGCTAATCTAATCTGACTGACATGATCAGACTGTTCAAGAAACTTACGAACAATATGACATGTTCCTAACAAAACAGCTTTTTGAATTTTGACAATTATTGAATCATTCAAATGCAAAGACTTTAAATTCTCAACTAAGCTATTTGGAACTACACCTACATTAGAGATAACTAGGGGTAAAATTGAAATTTTTTTAAGATTCAACATGGATTTCATTTCTATCGATAATTGTAGATATTTTGAAATCTTGGTGTGGTATGTTTGAATAATGTTGTTTGTGTTAGGAATAGCAATGTCAATGAGAATGGCTTCGTTGGTGTGTTTTCTGATAAGTATGATGTCTGGTCTGTTAGCTGTAATGTTTAAGTCTGTAAGTATTGTGCGATCCCAGTATAATTTGTATTTGTTATTTTCAAGGAATGGAGACGGAATGTAAGTGTAATAGGGTGTCGTATCTTCGATTAAGTTCATAAGTGTTGCTAATTCTTTGTGAATGATTTTGGCTGCGTTGTCGTGTCTAGCTTTGTAATCAGTTTGTGCTAGGATGCTGCAGGAAGAGATTATGTGCTGGATCGTTTCAGGTTTTGCTTTGCATAGGCGACAGCAGTCGTTTTTTATGTTCGGATCTTTGATGATGTATTTTCTATAATTCTTGGTATTGATTACTTGGTCTTGAATAGCAAACACAAATCCTTCTGTTTCGGCATACAAACTTGATTTTTTTAACCAAATCAATGACATCTTCTTATTGACATGATTTTCTTCTAAGTCTTTGTAGAATTTTCCATGTAGTTGTTTTTGTTTTAGCCCACTTATTATTTTATCTATTGTGTGGGGGGTGTGGATTTCTTCGGTGTTCGACAGATTTAAGGGTGTGTGGTTCAAATCTGCTCTTGTGATGGTGCGAAACATTTCATTTCTTTCCGCTCGTTTCAAGAAATACTTCTTCAAATCTGAGATTTGTCTCTGATATAAGTTTTCTAAGTTCTGGAAACCCCTTCCTCCATTCTGTCTTGGTAATGAGAATCTTTCAATCGATGATTTTGGGTGATGCCTTCTATACTGTGTGAAGATTTTCCTTGTTGCGATGTTTAAATTTTCAAGATCAGTTTTGGACCATTTAATGACTCCAAAAGAATATGTTAGCAGTGGAACGCAGAATGTATTTACTGCTTTCATTAAATTTTTTCCATTTAACTGTGTCTTCAATATTAATTTTAATCTCGCTACGTATTGATCTTTCAACTGTGTTTTCGTTTTGGTATGATTGATGTGGGAGGATTGACAGAAACCCAGATATTTGTATGTATCGTTTCGTTCTTGGGCTTCAATTATTTCCTTATTATTATTATTATTATTAATATTATTATTAATATTATTAAGGCTAAAATTAAAAAGCCAGTTTATATGTTTTTATCATTCGTTCAATAAAACTTGGTGAATACGGAGCTGGCGAAGCCCCAAATGCAACGTAATAGCAAAGTAGATTTTATTTATGGTACGGTCTCGGTACCTGCCGCCTTTCTTAACATCTAATTGACGTTTAACATTTAGCCACAAACGTCAAAAACTAAATCCTTTCGGAGATTTATGACTGGTAAGTCCAGGTGATTTATTCTGTGAGGACCTGGTGAGTAGGGTGTGGGCACTTTCGCTTTCAATATCATTAGATGTGTCAATTGCCAGCCGAGGTATTATTTTAAATAATTACCTAACAGGTATCGACGCGGGGGGAGGGGGGTATTTTAAAAATGCGCTCACCAATTCTACCGTTTTGTATAATTAATGTAAGTACCGAGTTTTTTACAGAAACATAAAAAAAATTACGTACGAATTAAAAAAAAAAGCTAATACTCTTTCAGTTGGAAGTACTCAATTGCACTAACTGCTCAATAATTGTGTGCTGATACCAATAAAACAGATAAAAAATTGTCATAATAAAAATTGTACCATGCTTTCAAAATGTGATGAATTTCCCTTAGTCTGACTAATCTTGGTTTATTTGTTAAAAACGTTGTATTGTTAAAATAAACTGCCGTCTTCAAATTGTATTTTAATGTTTTAATTTTTTCTGTTGATGTATAAAATTTTGCAAATATCTAATACCGTCGTTTCCAAAAAATGTCGGGCAAATGACATTGACATTGCTTTTCTCTTATCTATGAGAACCTGATTTGCTCATCTTGCCCGAATTTTTTTGGAAACGACTGTATAAAATAAATAAGTATGATCAACGAAGATATTTAATTTCCATGTAGACGGTTTGTAAACGAGGCATGGGTCAGTTGTGAACCACGGTCAGAAAAATCTGTGAGTGGTCCTAAATGCCCGGGACAGTTGCACGCAGCGGTCAGAAAGATTTGTATATAATTTTAAGGATTAATACCATAAACAGTTGTTGCTTGTTGTAGTAGTTTACGTGGGTGTTAGTTAGTCACTTTGAAATAAATAAGTACTCGGATAAATAATTGGACTTTATATTCTTACGTATTTATTAAGACCCACCACTGACCCGGAAATGACCGGCATTCAGGCAAGACTTCTATCATTACGGGTACTAAAAGACCAAGTAATGATATGCATTGATTAGATTATCAAAACAACTTTCGAGATTCTAGAATTACAGCATACAAATTAGTCTGCTATTATTCTCTAATCTCACCTCATCCCCAAAAGTCTAGCGTAACTACCGATCATTTATCCGCGCATCATTTGGAAAGTGACCTACACTACTCTGACCATGGCCGACTAGAGCTTATTTGAAACCAGAAGTACATTGAGCGGGAGGGATGAATGCGCGAAGCGCGAAAATGAGCGAAGAGTATGGACCAGTCAGTGGCGGACCATTAGTGTTGTTATTGGGGTTTGTACGTGCTCGCGTTAGTATAAGAACGTACAAAACAGGTCCAAAGAGTAAAGAAAGTTCGTTCTCGAAGCCGCTGATTCTGTGAAAGTAGTGCTCATGCGCACTGAATAGTGTTTCAAATACTCAGGGCCGGCTCTAAGGGACCAGGCGCCCCGATGCAACTTACTGTTCAACGCCCTCTAAAAAATTTTTGTAAAAAAAACAAATTAAATTTTGTAATCACATTTTTTGTGGAGAGATACTTTTTAGTAACAAACATACATGAAATTATGATGAATCAATCTTAATCTATACTTATATTATAAAGCTGAAGAAAGTTTGTTTCGTTGA